TTTATACAGAACTTGGGAGTCGTCGGGAACATTCTTATATTTCTTATATATTAATGATATACACATAAAATGTTTTAAAAGAATTATTTTTCATCACTAAATATCATCAACTTTCCATGAAATGATTTTCGTAAGGCGAAGAAATGAAAACAAATGTCTTATTTGGTTTATTCTTGAAAATATAACAGTGATGAACCAAGAAATATGCCACTCATTCTGGAAGAAAAAAACTTCGAACAGATGTTACACAAACATTCAATATTCAGTTCAATTGTAGCATATATATAAAGTCACATACAAAGTCAAGTTTTTCATTTATGCCACAGTCATCTTAGTTAATGTATTCCTCCTACAGCAATGTGTCTAGAGTGACCAGCACGATGGGTTAGTATAATGTAGGGCAAAGGATTTTCTTATTATACAGAGGTAGAAATAAATAAATAAATAAATACGACAATAAATACTATCAGTACATCTTGCAAAGTGTATTCCGTGATAATGTTGTAATATTCCCCGCGTGGCCAGGACAAAGAGACACCGGAATAGGAAATATGGAATATCTTTTTCACAGGGCCACGAAAAGAACTATTTTCGCAACATTCATCAATATGGAAGTGAACCCCAAGTCCTATTATGATATGAAGCCTGAGCTCGGAAAATGTCAGAGGGCGAATTTTGGGTCCAGTTTGATGCAGGATAACGACGCTTGGAACTCAGATCGAGCTGATACCGAAGCCCCACACGACACCGAGGAGCCTCCTGAGCAGCTGGCCCCCAACGGGACAATTACTAAAGAGCGCAGTGCATTCCTCCTCGCTGTGGGATCGACCGGGGTCTTGTTCCTCGGAAATGAGGGCCGTTGCATTGGCCTCCTGGGAGAAAAGAGGCATTTTGTTCGAGAGAAAATCCACGAAGAGTTTTTCCTCCTCCGTGAGCTTCTCCTCCGACGCCTTCTCCGCCTCCAGCAGACACAGCAGCTTCAGGATACAACCGTGGGTGTCTACCTGACTGACGGCGGACAGGATGTAGGATTCAGTCTCCGCCAACTGAGAGGCATCTCCTGCCTGCCTTTCCTTCCTGCTGAGAACACCGGATTTGTCGACGATGTAGCCGGCGATGGCGCCCACCTGGAACGGCGAAGGGACTGAGAAACAGAGGAAAGTGCCGCTTCCGATACGTAAATTTTACATTTGCAGCGAAAGGAGGTCCTTGCGGTAAATATACACGAATAGATAGGCAACAGATCAAAACGATCAATGGATGAACAATAAACGGATAAACAAATAAGTAGCGATAACCAAGAATGAACCAAAATGACAGAAAGTGAAGAGCCCTTCCAATTCGAGTAATCAAATCAAATGGACAAATGAATATTACGTTATCAAGAGAATAATATAATATAAAAATAATAAATCAAATATTAACGAAAATAAATCAAATATTAACGAAAATAATAAATCAAATATTAATAACTAGTACGTTGTTAAGTAAAGGCTATAGATCCAAAGCAAACACAAAAAATAAGCGAAATACCACACTAAAACAAAATGAAAAACAGGTAACACAAAGGAAATCTGAATCAATATCGACTTAAACAATAGATAAACAAATTTCGAGGATATCAATGAGGTTATTTAGGCGCAGGAAGAAGAATGAGAAAGAAATAGAAATCACAGTCTAACCTAATTAATGAAATCATGATAACAGAAAAAAAATAGAAATGATAATGATAATCAGATATAATAAAAATAATGATAATCAGTATAAGTATAATAAAAATAATGATAATAGTATAAGGATGATAAAAATAATATAATAATAATGATAATATAATTATAACCAATAATTATTATTGTGATAAGAATAACAAGGATAATGATAATAATAATAAAGATGATAGTAATAATAATGATAATGATAACAGTAACAATAATATTGTAATAACAATAATGATAACAATAAGAAAAAGAATGATGATGATGATAATGGTAATAGTAATAATAATGACAATAGTAATAAAAGTAATAAAAGTGATAACAACAATGATAATTCTATAAGGACAATAAAACGAAAAAAAATAAAAAACAAAATACAATACCCCAAAAAACAAAATCCCATCAAAACTTACCAAACACCTGACACGCAATAAACAAATAGATAACCAACCGGTCCCCCAGCCAACCAACACCTCTTCATACCCCCCTCTCCCCTTTATTTCTTCACCCCCCCCTTTTTGCTTTCTCCTCTTCGCAACCCCTCTTCCCTCCAACTGCCTTTCCCCCCAACCATCCTCCCCTCCCCTCCCTCCCCTCCCCTCCCCTCCCTCCCCTCCCCCCCTCCCTCCCCCCCTCCCCTCCCCTCCCTCCCTCCCCTCCCTCCCCTCCCCTCCCCTCCCCTCCCGCACCTCCCAGCCCAAGCGACGCAAAAGCACCCACATTGATAGCGATGAGGCCGCCGATGAGCAGGCCGCCCAGGGGTCCAGCGAGAGCCCCGGCGCCGG